ACGAAAGGTAAAAATTACTATCTGGGTGGTGTCACAGCTGCAGGCAGAGCAGTAAAGGCTCTAGAGCATCCTGAATGATCTGTCCCACATGTGACATTCTCCATTAAGCTTTGTTCTGGCAACATTCCCACTATTCGAGGAAGGAAATGCAGTACTCTCCTCCTTTTTTTCTGCGAGGTTGGATGTAAAGCTTGGAAAGCAGAAGTGCCTTAACCACATGGCAGGAGGACGGTAGTTCATAATTATTCTTCCACATCAACTGTTGGCCGCCATCCTCTTCCTCTCTGCTAGCATGCAAACTGCCAGTGGATACTTATCCAAAGAGCAGACATGCCACAAAGCAAAAAGCATGATTATTATTAGCTAATACTTCATAGTGGGTGCCAGCCAAAAATAAGAGCCTGAGCACAGTACCAGTGCAAAGGCAGCCCTGCCTGAAGCTGCTTATCATCTAAAAGATGCAAAAATGAAGGGGATAGAAAAGCAGGATGGGGAGAGCAAGACAGATAGGAGAAGGCTGCAAGCAGATAAGGAAATGTGTTCTCAGAAGAAGGTTTTGAGCCAGGTAATTTCAAAACACCTGCAGCCCAAAGAAACACACGCCCTTTTCCACCACAGTTTGCATTCTGCCCAAGTCATGGCCCATGGGCTGCCAAGCACCTCTGCAGAGGACAAGTGGCTCCGAACTGCTTCGTCTTCTGAGAGAAAGAAGTTTTACTCCATTCAGATCTTGGTTAGCATTTTCCAGCGCTCAGTCTTCAAGTTTCTTAAAGACCAGAGTGCAAAGTAATTACAAGGAGGTCGGTGGTCCTCACAGAAGAAAGGTCTCCAGAAGAAAATAAACAACGATTTCATCATGCTCTCTGAAGCAACACTACAAAATCCAGAAGGCAGAGCCACAGGCTGACAGCCCAGGAACAAGCCCATTTGTATGACATTGGGCAGACCCATTGACTTCTCAGTACTTCAAGAATACAGGCAAAGGACTATTATATTACTGTTCTGTGATTGATATCTTAAGAATCTCATGTTAGTTTTGGAGTTTCTTATTTTCTTTCAGAAATTCAACCCAGTTCTGCTGCTGATATCAGCTTTTTAATTCATTTTACACCAAGATATTTGTTATCAGAAATTGTGCTTTGATATGTGTCAGGTTGATGGATTCAGTAAAAGCCCTGTCAGGAGAAGCTGAGTGAATAGGGTTGCAGAAGTGGTGTCATCAAGGGAATTGATACGTTAACAGCCAGTCTGCTGATCTTGCAACAAAACATGCAAACATAATAGCCATTTTATTTCCTCACCCTGGCAAAATAGTTCAGAGAAACACTAGAAAATATTTGCATAAATATTACTCATATAAACAAGCTCAGCATGCTCACTGATAAGAAACATATGTAAAAAGCGATGCTACATGCTGGCCTGTTTTCCTATCTGGTGTGCAAAATTCAGTCAAGAAGAATAAAGACTTTATTCAAAATAAAGCTTTGAATTTAACTTTGGGAATTCAAGCAGACATCCTGTGACGCTCCAACTGAACTTGTCCTTCAATAATGTAGGAGGACAATTTTACTGACACATTTTTACCCACAGCCAGTAGACCTGCACCCCTCATCAAGCCATTGGAAAGTTGCATTAAGGTCTTATTTTGGCATCCAAACCTAGAGGCACGTAAAATCAGTGTTTGTTTTTTATTTCATAAATGAAATCACATAAGAAGCAAGACAGATTTTAGAAGAGAAATAATAACTTTTTATCAGACCACATAATATAGGGAGTGAGAAAAGGACACCTGCCCACTGCTCTGCTATAGGTCAAGAAGGACTTGAATATGCAAGCTCTCTGCTTCACCTTCATGAGACCATCACAGCTGCAACACTACCTCTGCACCGTTCTGTAATGCAAAGAGATTTTGTAAACTTGAACTGATTTACAGAACATTTGGGAATGGTAAAAAAATGCGATGCAAAAACGCGATGTTGAGATTCAACTTTTAAGAAAGAGAAATAATATTACAGCCTAAACAAAGCAAAGGGAAAAGTTCCAAAGCAATTAATCTGAAAAAGGTGAATTACACTGAGGATTTATGTCCATGTAATGAAGACAATTAATTGCTACGAGATCCATAAAACACATTAAATGAACAGGGTTTTTTCCAATTCCACTTGCAAGATAAAATTTATTAACTATGTTTAATGGGTACTTAAAATTTTTCTCTTACATATTTATTAAATGTGCTTTTTCAGCAGAACAGAGCATTTTACTAACCGGATTCTACTAATCTAAAAAATGAGCAATTTAAGAAAAATATATTACTCTGCATGTTATCTACAGATCTGTTTAAAATAATCCCTTACACAATAAGATTGCCATCACCACAATTGCATAAATGCTGCTAAAAAGGAATCTGCTTGTCTCACACGAGCAAACAATGTTCTGCTGCAAAGATGAATGAGTTTAGCTAACATTATTTGGACATATGTTGCCATTTCCAGCAGAGATACGGAGCAAACGTGGGTCCTGATGTCATTTGGTGTTACTGTAATCACTTAATTAAAAAACTCCTCTACCTGGGAGAGCAGGACACATGGAAGAAACTGGCTTAGATCGGAGCAGTGACCTCAAACTCCAAATCCACATCCAAATCTCGTGCTTTGCCCTACAGACTCAGCTGCTCAGGCAAGGCTATCTTCATGCCTCCAGATGTGGGTATCAGGTGCACCTTTTGCACTTGTGATTGCATGCAAATCAGAGACAGATGTTTACTGCTTAAAAGTGACCTAGAATTAACACTGTTCCTTATTCACCATCTGTAAAATCGGGGTAAGTTGCACTTCTGTCTTACAAGGGTGTCAGGGGAACAGATAAAGTTGATGGTAGTCAATTATTCTGGTAAGTTTGTGTGAGCCCACAAGATGAAGAGAAAGGATAAAAAAGGGTCTCAGCTACTTCAGTGAACATCAGCAGTGTTGCCAACTCTTTAAACTATAGCACAATCTTCTTAATCTGCAATGTTCTTAAAGATCAAGTTTCCATAAACATGAACTTTCCTTAAATAAGGACCAAGTTTTTAGATCTGATGGTCACAAAGTAAAATGCAAAAATATAACCGAAGTCCAACCTACAGTTTAATGCCTAAATAAGTTTCACATAGATCAATTGTATGGAAAATGCTCTTTGTCCTTTGAAACTGTGAGGTCTGCAAAGTCCTGCACAACCTCTGCACTGGAGTACTACTCATGCTGCAGCCTGAGACCATGAACCTTAGACTGAGAGTTGGACCGACTTGGGTGGGAAGGATGTGGGGGGCTCGTCTCACCACCGTCCTGCCCAAGGCAGGGTCAGCACCACGGTCACACCAGCAACCAACCGCTCTGGTGCAGATCCTCGCACACGCTGGGGCACCCTGCATACCCTGCAAAACACACATGTTCATTGCAAGGAAGATTTACACTATTTCACCTACAAATCTCACACAGAAGCAGGAATAAACTGATGTGATTTCTACATCGTAATAGTGCAAAATATTTCTCCACAAGAGTCAAGAAGCCCTCTTGATTATGAAATACCTCTCCTACAGCTTTCCCCTGTAGGTATTATAATCACAAGAGCAGCAGCTTGGAAATAAACAAAAGTGAAGATGATGACAAAAGCACGAGCAATGTTTAACAACCTCCTCTTCTAGAAACCAGGTGCCATCGGAGCAGACAGACAAACGCAGCAAGCGCTGCAGCAGTTCTAACGATGGGAACCTCTCCTCCTTGACATCAGCATTGTTTTCTTGAAATGCCTGTACAAATTAACACCACATGTTGTGGTGGAACAGACCTTTCTTGACCCTCAACACTTAAAAGTTAAACACCTAATTTAAGCTGTTCCCACCAACCTTTTCTGCAATCACTGAAGACAGGCAGTCTCCAGACCAGCAGAGCTCTGCTGAAGCGTGAGAGTTTGAGTCTACAGTTTCCAGAGGTAACACTACTGGTGCAACCATATCAAAAGCAGAAGAATGAATGCACACTCACCTGGATGCCTCATGTTTTCTTAGAGACTTTCTTAAAAGTCTTGACCATCCCCCCCCCTCCCCCCCCAACACCAAGTATGGGTGTTATATTGCTGCTGTACTTTTCTCAACAAGACTGTACTGCTGGTTCAGCCATGAAAGAGAAGTCAATACCCATGTGTTAAATGAAAAAGGTTATAGTGTCATCTGATACCATTCTACTGAGATCTGGGAACCAATACTTTAAAATTTGGGTTTTTTTATCAGCAAACTTTGCCTCCACAGAAATAACTTGGCCTAGATAAAAGCAGTTGTATTATCAGAGGCTATATTACCCTAAATGCTTCCACAGTGCAAGCTTTGTCCATAATACATTCCTCAAGTCCTGGCCGTCAATTTCTTGTTAAAAGATATGTTGCATACTGGCTTGCTACAGTTACAGCGTAACCAAGGCAATGTTTGTGTGGGTATGAGAACCTCCACACATGCAAAAATTTTAAGTGCTACACAACAAAGGGGGCACATACGATTGTGCAAGAAATTGGTATTATTTCCATCCTTGGCAAACATCAAGAATATACAAAGCACAAAGGAAAGCACAGGGCTGTATTACAGATGGGCTACTTCAGCGTCATTTATTTTTTTCGTCTCTGACCCTCTGAACTGCAGACGTTAGTGAAACACAACAAGTGGGACTTTCAAAATGCGGATGCCTATCACCAAGTACACATCACCAACAGCAAAACACAACCATCAACGAGCATTTTGTTCAATAAAGCACTTGATATGAACACGCACCCCCTCAAGTCCAAGACTTTAAAAACACTTCACTCTTGATAATCGCTCTCCAAATTCAGGGAGAGCAAAGGTTATTTACGGAGACAGTATGAGCATGGCACGCATACAGCAATAAACACGAAGGCTGCTAATTTTGTATTTTCCCCATATGCAGATATTCAGAAAAGAGCAAAAAGAAAAGAGCAGGGGAAAAATGACATACCTTACCAAACCTGAATGTTGGACACAACTCGTTTCAGAGCAACATTGGTGTGAAGGTAAGTTCCTCAGGCGACCACCAACCACAACTCCTTTCTGAGCTCCCCAGAGGCTCCAGCTCCCCTTTGTCCGTGTCCCTGAGGAAGATGCAGTGTCCTCCAGTATTTCAGAGCCTCAGCTGCAAAATATGCTGTTCAGAAAAAGAAAGAGAATAAGGTGTGGCATTAAATTCTAGGGTCAGTTGTTTGGCAGATTCAGAGCAGAACATAAGACAACATCGGATAGGAACGAAATGTCAAGGCAGGACAAAGAGTCTGTGACAATCCATCATGTGTGGCACCTTCAGAGGGCAATCTTTGGATTCAAGAATTGTGGTGCAAAGCTATTCTTGCTTTACAGTATTTTAATAGTGTCCCTACACCAGAAAATGAATGCCAGCCCAGCTGCTTATTATTCCAGCCTGATACCGTAGTAAGAAAGTAATACACTTCTCCACAGGGAATATTTTAATTCATTATGGCATTTCTGCAGAATAACAGGACTTTCATATTAAAACCAGAGGCATCACCTCAGTCTTAATACTTTGCACTGTTAAAATGCCTCTCAGTCAAGGAATTCAAAGCTCCTAAACAGGCAACCACGTCAGGACCTTACAGCTGATGGGAAGTGGTGACTGTCAGCCCAACATGCAGCAATGGGTTCCCGAAGTTCAGTCTCCAAAGCGACTGTCAGAGAGAGGTAAATGGCCTGAGCTTTTCTGGGAGTGTGGGGGCTCGGCATCGCCATGTTTTCTAGCTCACTATCACTGCTAGCTGTGCTCGGTGTTTCCGAGAGGTCAGACCCTGGCACTGAACATGGACGTGGGAGCCCCATTGCGGACACCCAGGTCAGAAGAGAGTAATGGAGACAACCGCCTGGCAGCAACGCTGCCAGCAACCAAAAACCTTAGATAAGCACAGAGAAGTTCAAACGTTCATTGCTGTCATTGCACGAATCATCCCTTATCCCTGACACATGGGAAAACACTCAAAGGACCATTCTTCCCCCACCCAGACAGCACAGCCTGCAAAGCGAGACCAGGCAGAGCAGCACAAAGCAGGCGAGGACTGAGCAAAGAACAGGATCCACAACCTCTCTAGATCAGATACATATGCATTAGGTGGTTTGTGTCCTTAAATCGGGCTTAGAGACGCTTTGTCTAACATTAACTCAATACAGCAGCCATGAATGTACTCTAGCTTCGCCTAGAAATGCAAAAAGAGCAAAGAAAAAAGAAAAAAAAAACCCAAACAAATATGCAGACACGTTTATCCCTTAGAGATCTCCTACACAGCAGAAAGCCTGTGGCAGCTCGAAATACCACAAAATCCCATTACGTCTTCACAAAAAATCCTGAACCCATGAACAGGTTACAGCTATCTGGAAAACCCGTTAGCTTTTGGGCTTGCAAGAAGGAAGATTTCAGTAATCAGCGTGTAAAACTGTCCATATTGAAAGCTAGCATCATACTGCTTTCTTTTTTTTTTATTATTTTTACCAAAAGTCCACATAGCAAGCAGGGTCACACAGATCTGAGCAATCAAATATATTCACTTCATTTAGCACTAATTACTTCACTGGACCTTGTATAAGTGGTTTATGTTACATACCACACCTAAAGGCTCTACAAGTGGAACAGCTTGTGAGATACCCACAACAGGAGTCTGGACGGCAGAGCCTAGCCCTCCATTTCTTGGCACACATCTACAGACCTTCTGCCTCTCTTGAACTCTGACATGAAGGACAAAGGTGGACCTTCACAGTCCCTGTCCCAGGCTAACCATGAAAAATCAGACCGCCAACTGAAATGGCTGCTGAATGACTTACGGGTATAGAAATGGCTGATGCTGCAGTAGTTTGATCTGCAGGTAGCAGCAAGACCTAATTCTACTGCTTTTAAGGGATTTCTATCTCCGGACACCACAGTTACAATTACTTTTTCATTTTTGCTCATAAATTGTAACGCAAAATAGTCACGAAGAAAATCAGTGCTACATTTTTGTGCATTAACTATAGCATCAGCTGAGTTGAGAAGTAGAAGTAACAATAATAGGACTAGATCATCATTGCAAGCTGAGTGCAGGAGCCTGGTCCCAGGTTGGAAAAGATGTGTTTTTGAAAGTTCCTATTTAGTACAGCTTGCCAATGCTCATCGGAAGCAAATCTCTTTGCTAAGAAGTTGGCATGTTGCCTTAATATGCTGCTACACATGTGTACAGAGTTTCTGTACTGTCTGAATTCCTGCACTGCTGGGTGGATCATAAATTACAGTACAGGCAGAAGCATGCACTTCCAGCTCTTGGTGAAGACAAAAAAACCCAGCTTCCCTCACTCCCAACCACTACCGTTATGGGAATGAGAGCACAGCAGCAGCAGGCTGGAAAATGTTGCTGCCAAGCGGTTGCCTGATCCAGACTGAAAGTGCAGAGTACTACGAACATGAAGTAATGCAGGAGGATGGGAAGTAACAGGAGGTGCGGACACGGAGGGGAAATCAACTTTGGACATGACAAAATGCAACGACTGTGCACCATTCCCATCTCTCTGATACAAGAGAGATGGTACAACATAACAAAATGAAATCTGTGGCCAGGACTCCCGCGAGCAGCAAGGTGCAGATGCTCCAGCCTGAACGCAACGTGCTTGATGACGTGCATCGCACAAATACAGAGGGAGGGAGGCAGGCCAGGGACCGTTCCTAGTCAGCAATATAGTAAGGTAAAAAGCTACTAAAAAAATAATGCAAGGAAACCCTCATGAGCTATAATTTGTGTTGGCCCAGAAACTTCCAGGAAAAAAAAAAAAAAAAAGAATGTATGCCAGTCCTGTTGCCCAAACCTGCATGATTTTGCAGAAAAACCCCTTCACATTCAGTAAGCCACTACTGACTTGGTGGTGAGTGTCCTAGCAGGCAACTGGTTTCCCTCTCACAGTCGAGGAAGCTGGAGAGCCCATCACAGCTCCTGAGATGCTCCTCGGACCTCCTCGACTTTGGGCAGCTCTAGTGAGCAACCACCCCGAGGGCTGGAAAAGCCTGGGCTGACGGTGGTCTGCTGGAGCCACTGCCCAAGCCCAGAGCCCCAGGACTGTCCCACGGCTGTGGAGTGAGACAGACAGCAGCATCCCTCATAAAAAAACCATTAATTTCAGTCTGCAGCTGCTGTAGGAGCTGGCATTGCTCCTATCTGAAACAAAACCAAGTCTGAACTTACAAAAATGCCCCATGTACTAGAAATCCCACCAGTTCCGTTAGTTTTGGTTCTACAATTTTGTGCCCCTCCCCCCGCTTCTTTGATCAGATGTGTGGAGGTAACTGCCGACAAACTACAAATTACTTCCATTATCCCACCACTTCAGATTTTTACATTCAGTTTCTGGAGCCCTGGATTGAATATTCAGGTGCATTCCTAAATTAGCATAGTTAAGTGGTATCAGATCAGTCTTCAAGTCACAAAAGCAGGCATATAGATGTTCTCATTAATCAGAAAAGGCAGACAAGACATTTTTCCAGTAAAAAGTGAGTATTTCCCTTGGAGGAGTCTCAGTCCTTTACTGATAGAAAGCATGAATTATACAAAATAACTATACACTTCAGATGTAACAAATCCGATCAAATATTAAATTTGAAGACACCGCTTCTATCTTGAGATGTTCCCAGACCACAAATCAATGAAGGCTGGGAGACTCTCTCACAGGAAGCCTTGCTATACCTTTGCCCTGTTCCCATACTCTTTAGGCATCAGCTGTTGATAACTGTCAGGGTCCAGCACAGTCATCCTTGTACTTGGGTGTCATACAGCTTCAGGTACAGCTTGGGCCTCGTGGCTAGATATGACAATACTGGTGAGCATTTGCAACTTTAGATAGGGCAAAAAGAGGTATCTAGAAGCTGAATGATGTATTTGCAAGCAAATATTACAGTACAGTAGATATTCAAATTAGTATTAGTTTGTCTCATCAAAAATTAATTACAACTACCTAACTGCAATTGAAGAAATTAGTTGGGAATAGAAAAGATTAAATATTTAAAGAGTCTGGTGAGTTAAAAATAATTGAAACCATATCTCCTTGTTTAAATATTAAATTTCTTTTATTTTTACTGCTAGTGTGACCATTAAGAAATCAAAATTCCATACACGCATGCACCCATGCAGACATGTACACCACACTCAGGTAATACGTAACATGTTCATATATAGTCTA